AAGCTGCAGACAGTTATCTTGGTTAACTAGTTTAACTTATTTTAAATCTTTATTTAAATCTTTATTAAAGCTGATGAAAAGCTGTGGACTAAAGTGTCTGTTCCAATTTGGCTCTTAGCGATTTAATTTCTAATTTATTATCAATACGGACAGTGATGGACTGCTAAATTATTATTTTAATAAAATCTTGAGTTTAGTTAGGTAATTTTGGGTGTAGAAGAGACGTTATTAAAAAAAACATTGTATCTTTGGGTTTTTTGGTTGTTTGGCAGTAATTTTTTACTGTGGTGGCTTGATACTAAATACTGCCAGGCAAACACACAGAACGTTTCAAAGAACTTCCTAACTGGATCTCTAATAATCAGTAGATTATCATACAGGCTTCCTTCCATATTAGACTGGAACACACTTGCAATTTTAAATAGAGAGAGAGGTTTGATGTATGCTTTCCTTAGAAATAGCATTAAATTAAGCAAACTGTACTTGCTCTGCTCCTTGGGTGTATGATCTGAGCAGAGTTGGGGGAGAGAGTCAGGGCTTTTTTTTTTTTACCTTGTACAAACCACTGCAGTGACACATTTGGAGGTATGTCCCAGGACTGAGAACTGGGAACCAGTGCGCGAGCTCCATAGGCTAGTACTGCCATCAGAAGAAATGTAGTTACTTACAGTGGTTACTCTTATTAGTTAAAATAGCTTTTACTTTCTTGCTTTCTACTTTTAATTTTCTTACCTTTACTGTTTGACAAGGTCTTCAGCTGTAAAAACTCTGCTAGGCTTTATCTAAATATTCTAAAAAGCACAGTTATCCTCCATTAACTCTTTCACTGTAAGTCTGCTTGTTCCTCTACCTTAGAGAGAATATATGATGTGCATACTTTGCATTAATCCTTAGTTGAGTAACATCCAGGCAATTTCAGTCCTAAAGTGGTTCTGAATAACAATTCCCAGTTGAGAAGTGGCTATCATGATTTAATCATGTAAATACTTCTGTTGTGGTCTAGTCTGAAGGCCTCAGCTGGAAACTGATTCCCTTATACTAGGCTCTATGTGTATATAATGACATTTGAGTGATGGGGGAGGAGGGAAAGGGACTTCAGATTCTTTTGCCCAAGACTTCAGACTTGGGAATATGGTTACTTGCTAGAATTCTATTCCATCATGGTGCACATCTATTCATTTTCTGATAGTATGGGCACACGAGCATGTTGCTGCAGCGCAATTTGAATAAAAATTTGTAGCATCAGTTGTTCTGCAGTCGCTGCAATGATATCCCTACTCTCTGATAAGCATGAAGTGGGTTACTTACTACTGAAAGAGTAAGTTAAAGTCCTTTGAGTTTACTCTGAATTACAAATGAACCTCTGTTCATTTACCATACAGTAGGTACTATGCAGCAGGTAAGCTAGAACAACTTCATAGAATCATGGAATGATTTGGGTTGGAAAGGACCTTAAAGATCATCTAGACCCAACTCCTCTGCAGGGACACGTTCCACTAGATGAGGTTGCTCAAAGCCTCATCCTCATCCAACCTTGAACACTTCCAGGAAGGGGCATCCACAGCTCCTCTGGGCAACCTATTCCAGTGCCTCACCACCCTCAGAGGGAAGAATTTCTTCCTTATTTCTAATCTAAATCTGCCCTCTTTCAGTTTAAAGCCATTACCCATAATCCTGTCACTACATGCCCTTGTAAAAAGTCCCTCTCCAGCTTTCTTGTAGGCCCCCTTTAGGTACTGGAAGGCTGCTAGAAGGTCTCCCCGCAGCTTTCTCTTCTCCAGACTGAACAACCCCAACTCTCTCAGTGTGTCTTCATAGGAGAGGTGCTCCAGCCCTCCGATCATCTTTGTGGCCCTCCTCTGGACCTGCTCCAACAGCTCCAAGTCCTTCTTATGTTGGGGGCTCCAGAGCTGAACGCAGTACTGCAGGTGGGATCTCACAAGAGCAGAGCAGATGGAAGAATCACTTCCCTTGACCTGCTGGGCACGCTTCTTTTGATGCAGCCCAGGATACAGTTGGCTTTTCTGGGGTGCAAGTGCATATTGCTGGCTCAAGTTGAGGTTCTTATCAGCCAGCACCCCCAAGTCCTTTTCCTCAGGGATGCTCTCAATCCATTCTCTGTTCTGCCTGTATTTGTGCTTGGGATTGCCCCAACCCCTGTACAGGACGTTGCACTTGGTCTTGTTGAACTTCATGAGGTTTGCACAGGCCCATCTCTCAAGCCTGTCAAGGTCCCTCTGGATGACATCCCCTCCCTCCAGCATATTGACCACACCACACAGCTTGGTGTCGTCAGCAAAACTGCTGAGGGCGCACTCAATCCCACTGTCCATGTCACCAACAAAGATTTTAAACAGTGCTGGTCCCAATACCAGCCCCTGAGGAACGCCACTCATCACCGGCCTCCACTCGGACATCAGGCTGTTGACCACAACTTTTTGAGTGCGACCATCCAGCCAATTCCTTATCCACCAAGTGGTCAGTCCATCAAATCCACGTCTCTTCAGTTTAGAGACAAGGATGTTGTGCAAGACAGTGTCAAATGCTTTGCACAAGTCCAGGTAGATGATGTCAGTTGCTCTTCCCTTATCCACCAAGACTGTAAACCCGTCATAGAAGGCCATCAGATTTGTCAGGCACAATTTGCCCTTACTGAAGCCATGTTGGCTGTCACCAATCATCTCCTTTTTTTCCATGTGTCTTGGCATAGTTGCCAGGAGGATCTGCTCCATGATCTTGTTGGGCACAGAGGTGAGAGTGACTGGTCTGTGGTTCCCCAGGTCTTCCTTTTTTCCCTTTTTAAAAATGGGGGCTATGTTTCCCTTTTTGCAGTATGTGGGAATGTCACCAAACTGCCACGACTTCTGAAATATGATGGATAGTGGCTTAACAACTTTATCTGCCAGTTCCCTCAGGACTCGTGGATGCATCTCATCAGGTCCCATGGACTTGTCCACCTTCAGATTCTTTAGATGGGCTCGGACCTGATCTTCTCCTACAGTGGGCGGTTCTTCATTCTCCCAGTCCCTGCCTTTGCCTCTGTGGCTTGGGCTGTGCCACTGGAGCTCTTGCCAGTGAAGACTGAGGCAAAGAAGTCTTTGAGTACCTCAGCCTTCTCCATATCCTGGGTAACCGGGTCTCCCGTTTCCTTCCAGAGGGCCCATGTTTTTCCCTTACTTGTCTCTTCTTTAGATTTACTGTATATCACCATTCCTAAAATGGCTGAATGTCTTCAGCCTTCCAGTGTGAAAAGAACAGAATTTGGCTAAACAAACCAGGACTGTGTTTTGCGATTTCTCTCACTGTTCATGCTGTTTTGTCAGTGCTAGAACAGTACCAGTCAGGCCTATTAGACAGTCTTTACTAGGCTTTTTTTTTTTTTTCCTTCAGGGGTGTTGGATTGGAAGAATTGTAGGCAAGTTTTTGTTGTAGTTTCTGTTCTACTTTCCATGCTGTTCAAAATAGCTTTGAATTAAAGTTGTTTGTGCTAGTGTATAGACTACTGAATATTGTTATGGGAAAGGTGGGACTGCTGGTTTTAGAAATGCATGAGGGGTTTGGAAGGCTAAGTCAGATGGAAAAGTAGATGACTGTGAGGAGATGGATTATACATCTGAGCAACAAGATGACACCTTAAACTAAACTTATCAGAAGGATGTGTAACGGCTGTTTAAGATAGCAAAGATGAGCTTATTTCTCACATTGCTAAAAACTGAAATGCTTAGTGAAGAAAACACTGATGACATTTTATTTACTTTAAAATCTTTCAGTTGTTTTGGGTTTAAGGTTCTTTGTGCTTACTTTTTGCATAGTAGAATCTGCGCAAATTTACTATTTTAATAACATTCAAATTTTTAAAGGAGAAGCTAGTGGTTTTCCTACCTTGAAGTCTGTTGCTGAGAAAATCCATTATTTTTCAGGCACAGCGCTTATGCAAACGATGTGGTCAGGCCTGGAGAGCTGCAACTTTGGAAGGATGGAAATTGTATCATGATCCTAACAGAAATGGAGGTATCTATTTCAAAGTGCATTTGAGACGTAAAAATAGGGCTTTCTCTTAATATCTGTCTGTGACAAAGAGAAATAAGTCTTTCATCTTAAGAGCCTTTTTTGTATCTCAAATATTTTACCATGTCTGTTGAATATGTAAAAACTAATATGAAATTATTTTAGCTGAAGGTATGAGTTCACTGAATCCATTTAACGTGCTAAAGTCACTTTCTTTTTGAAAAACAAGCATAATCACTAGGAAATAGATGTCTCAGAGTTCCGAACAGATCTTCTCCACCTCCTTGTAACATTTCAGTCTGTATGTTGTCAACATCTGACTTGTGCCACCTAGCAAACATTTTGTTGCTTACAGACTCAAAGTTGGACAATATGTTCAGCTTCAGAAAGGTACAGAAGGACTAAAGTTCAGCAAATGTAAACACAGGAAAAAAGAGATGCTTTTAAAATATTTAAAGATTGTTAAATTACCTTTCTGCTTGGTTCTGGGCTTCCTTGCACATGGTCCTATTTATAACACAGTGCCTTGCTTCTCTTTATGCTCAGGACATTGCGGGATTTAGCAAAGAATTTAAGAACGTGTGTAAGTGTTGTGCAGAGCCAAGTCTGGAAGGCATGATGCTTTCCTGCTTTTCTATTCCTGATAGCATGTTTTATCTCCATGCTTCTCCAGTGTCCTAGCCTTGTTTTGAGTGTACCTACCCAGCCTGCTGGTAGATGGGTTTTAATTCCATGAGGCACGTCCTCGTGCAGATACATGCAGAATAGCAGCACTGAAACAGTGCCACTTTTTACAAGTTTGTATTCCTTGAGATAGAAAAATTCGTTTTCTCCTTAACTTTGTGTTTTCCAAATGTAAACATTGTAGATATGTTATGGTCAAACCCATTATTTTCTTCAAAGCTAGATAGCAGACAAGCTTTCAAAATAGTGTAACTTTAAAGATGTGCATTTACCAAGCTTCTCAGAAAAGCCTCTTTGTGGTCCAGTCGAAAGTACAAAATGCTTTGGGAGGAGTTCCAAAGAGATTGAAATTCAGTTAATAACAAAAAATAGGCTTTACCTTGTTACTGGTTTATCTTTTTTTAATAGCACCTTTTTCTTTTTCCTTTTTTTTTTCTTTTTTTTTAATTATCCCTTGCATGTAGGAAAAGAGCTGGAGCCTGTACAAGGGAATCCATACAGGTGCGTTTGGAAAATAAGTTGTTGGCGTATGGCTGAAGAGGTAAGATAATGCTGATTTGCTTGATATTAATATATAAATTGGAACTTTTCTGAACATTATAGCATGATTTTAAATAAACCCACTCCCTCTGTGTTTACTGGTTATAGGATTTGCAATTATGTTTTTTAAAAGGACTTCTGAAATAACGAATTTATGTGTTTTAGTGAAAAATCTACATAATCAGCACCATTTTTTCAGGCTTAGGAAATGTCTTTTTTTTTTATTTGGTTGAAAGTGAAACTGCTGACACTAACTTTGACTTTCATCTTAACCTAATGGAATGGGAATGGAAAAACGTTGCTTTCTTTCCAGGTCGATATAAATTTTTCAGATAAGTTACAAGAGGATACCAGTGAAGGGGAAGTTACTTGCTGTTCTTATTTTGGCTCCTGATGTGTGCTGTGATTTTTCCAGCTTTTCCTGGAAGCCGTTAAATGGAAACATTTTGTAATGGATTAATCTCTAATAAAATGTAAAGTGACTAGAAAATTTATGTGCTTTGTAATTAAAAGTTATTTTTTTTTTACTGTTCATTTTAGGAGCAGTTTAATAGATATGAGAGAGCAATCTATGCAGCACTGAGTGGAAACCTCAAACAGGTAGGTCAAGCCTCCTAGTTAAGTGGTGTTTGGTACCTGTGCATTTTCTGTCTTATATGTGACAGTGCAATTATTGGTTATTGTACATTTAAAGATCCAGTAAACAGGACAGTAGCAAACATTGCTGCTTTCATAGACGTGTTCATTGTAGGATTGACGTGCCTTCATT